AAGAACTATATCTCCGGTCACAGATATCACAGTACAAGAACTATATCTCCGGTCACAGATATCACAGTACAAGAACTATATCTCCGGTCACAGATATCACAGTACAAGAACTATATATCCGGTCACAGATATCACAGAAACTATTGAATATCAAGACGTGAAAGATTCTAACTTGTAGGTGCAAAAGTTCTATCATTTACATTTGCTTAATCAAATGCGTGTATGATGTTAGTCGGTTTTCAAAATAAACTTTTCGGTTTAGGGTGAAGGTAAAGAATTGGGGTTGGAAAAAGGGGGCATTGATCCCGCTAAAGGAGCATTGCCCAAGACCCACAAAAGTCTGGTATCTAACCTGAATATATGCGCATCTTTTGGCTATAATGTCATGAGTTGTTTTTTTTCCAGTTCAAATGGGATATCATGTAAATGATTACAGAAATATGAACAGCAAGATTAATTATTGAAAACTTTTAATGAATGTTAAGCAAACTATATAGATTATAACAAAAAAACAGCTTACAAAACAATGAAGCTAATTCCGTACAAAATACTGACTAGAGGTTGTCAACGTCATAAACCAATACAAACAAAAACTAAAACCTATAATGATCAGAATGAATCGTCATTTAAGTATCCTAGCAACTTGTGATGTTTTCGGCCATAATCCCAATAATTTCTCAGGGGTTTGGCTAACTTATAAGATTTAGGTTAGTCTTAAATCCACTTCGCAGCTAGCAATGCAGTGTAATCTTTATAAGTTTAAAAATGCATATTAATACTAATATATCGTAACTAAATGAATCTAACTATAAAGAAAACTGGAATTTATGGTTTGAATTTCGCGCAAAGCTACACGAGGCTATCTGCGCTAGCAGTCCCTAATTTAGCAGTGTAAGACTAGAGGGAAGGCAGCTAGTCATCACCACCCACCGCCAACTCTTGGGCCACTCTTTTACCAACGAATAGTGGGATTGACCGTCACTTTATAACGCCCCCACGGCTGAAAGGGCGAGCATGATTGGCGTGACGGGGATTCGAACCCGCGACCCTCAGATTGCGAGTCGAGCGCCTTAACCACCTGCCCATGCCGGGCCCAAGAAAAATGGAACGGGTCATTCCTCAGAAAACGTCGTTTCCTTTTATAATCCATATCGCTGACCAATACAAATTACAAGTTGGAACTTTTCCACTGTGCAAGAATTATTTGTGTTATTTTTACGTATTCTACTTGTGAACATTTATGTCATAAACTAGGCTGTCATCACTAAAAGCCGTCGTATTTTGTATTTTACTGTATTTATATTGCGACAGACCTGGCATGGCCTATTGGTTAGGGCCTCGACTAGCAATCTGCGGGTCGAGGGTTCGAATCCCATCACCGAACATACTCGCCCTTTCAGCCGTAGGTGCGTTATAATGGGACGGTCAATCCCACTATTCGTTGGTAAAGAGTAGCTCAAGAGTTGCCGGTGGGTGGTGTTGATTAACTTCTATTCTGTCACTTCAAAATTAGTGTTCGTTAGCGCAGATAATCCTCAAGTAGCTTTACACGAAATACAACAACAAATAAACAATCACATTGCGGCACATTTCATAACTAGAATACAGTTGAAACTTGTTATTGTATATAAATACCATGAATCTTTTGAAGTGCTGGGCTGTACGCGCGCGCGTGTGTGTGTGTGTGTGTGTGTGTGTGTGTGTGTGTACCACAAAAAAAAAGTTCTTTTTTAAACAAAAATACACAACTAATGCTTTGACCAAAGTCACAGTCCAAAACCCCAAATTAACGGCTTTACTAATTATGTATTACTTTTCTGTTTGTTTTTTTTTTTTTATTTGTTTGTTTTTAATTATGCACAAAGCTACACAAGGGCTATCTGTGCTCTGCCCACCACGGGTATCGAAACCCGGTTTCTAGCGTTGTAAGTCCGCAGACATACCGCTGTTCCACTGGGGGGGTGGGGTTACTTTTCTCTGGGTTTTTATGTTTAATTCGCTCCTTTGAGTTTGAGATTCTATTTCAGTTACTATAAACTAACGCAGCTTGGTTTACCAGGCTACAGTTGTGTTGAAACTTAACCTCACCGTTGGTGTTCTAAAATTAGCGTGTTTGTTCTCATGAAAGTAGAGAAAAAGACATCAATCTGAAGTGTTTATGACCAAACAGGTTGATAATAATTTGCCAGAGAAACTGAAATCGTGATTCGTTTATGGTATCAATGCCATTGAAAAAGGTATGTAGCTTTTCCTTAATCTCGTTTATTAGTTTATTTTAGAATAAATGTTATCAGAACGCCTCCTTAGAAAAATCTAACGAAGTTTTCATTTTCCTTATCATGTTTAGCTTCTACTAGTCCTCTTTGGCTAATCCCTAGTGTACGGTTCAGGAACTAAAGTTATTCGATGTAACATTGATCGCAAAGTACAATTGAACAAATAAATAAATAAAAGAGGATCCTCTTACCTCGTATATTAGGAAGTTGCTCAAGATGTATGGACTAATACGTGTTGACTGTAATACTTGGGCAAAAATGGCATTTATTGCAGCACGTGTGCAATAGATGATTAGCCAATATCCCTCAATTTTGCGATGGTTCAACCACGTGACCCCCTCGTCTCTGGAAGCATGCGCCATGCTGGAGTCGTCCTCTTCTTCTAAGCTATTTAAGGACTGAGTTAACAGGACTGAAGATTGTCACTTACAACGTTGCTTCACAAAATTGCCCAGGTAAGGTTGAAGTTGTTGGTTTTTTTGTTTTTTTCATAGGAGGCTTGTTTGTTTGTTTGTAATTAAGCACAAAGTTACACAATGGGGTATCTGTGCTCTGCCCACCACGGGTATCGAAACCCGGATTCTAGCGTTGTAAGTCCGCAGACATACCGCTATGCCACTGGGGAGCGTCATTTAAATCATTCAACTATAAAATGACAGGAATCATAACACGACTGTATTTAATTTTAACAAGAACCGATAATCGAAACGTTCACTCGCATACACATCTTAAATGTTTACCCTTCCAGCATACTGAACTAATGACAACCACAAATCTTCTGATTTGGTTACCTGTGGTACTGCATTCAGAATAAAGAAACTTTTAATAACTGTACGGAGAAATAGGAGCGTGCGCGCGCGCGTTTTTTTTTCCCCCACGATTTTACAAATTGTCCACGAGAACTTCCCCATACTTGTTTGAGATTGCCGTCAGAATTTCTTCTGCCAATGTATAATGTTAAAGGCGTTATTAACAATATTAACTGTTTTAACAGAACTGTCAACACGGGTTTTATAATAGAAAAACACTGTTATCTTGTGATACATTTCTCTCTACACACTAATGCCAATCAGCAGATACGTCATTACTCCGTTCTGTATAAATAAAATCCGTCTTTCTAAGTAAATGGGAAAAAAAATTCTTTCCAAAATGCAAATGTAAGTATTTCATGCCGATCTCCGCTCAAGGTAGAAATTTGATTGGTTGTTTGCTATATCATTGACGGGATACTCTGACAAAATCGTGCTTCAGTGAAGGTGGATTGGTGACTTAATATAATAGTGAAAACAGACACGTGGAAAATAAAATGTTCAGTTAAAACACCAGTAGAAAGAATGCAAATTTATCGCGATGTTTCGAGCTAACAAAAGCAGAACACGTGTTCTAAAGAATCGTGTTACAACTTATTAATATGTATTCATGAAGAAAATATATAGTTTAGGTATCCATAATCTTACAAGTCTGAATAACAACAACAACGTATTTTCAGGTAATTAAGGCCAGTTTGTGTTTTTTTAACTACGTTTTTAAATACAATGTGAAATTTTTAGGAATTGTTAGCTCTTTCACTTCGTGTTGCGATATTTCTTCCCATCATACAACTCGTCGTTTCCAAAAACATGTGCAAACATCAGGTATTTTAAACCATTAAACTAAACCTAGACTCCAAAAATTTTATAAAAATACTTATCTTTTGTAAATTGTTAAATAATCGTTAGAAGATCATAATTTACAGGTTACAGCTTCGACCGCCATGTTAAAAACCACCATGCTTTTCTTTCTGACGCTTCTCTTCGTGACCACCTGTTTCGCCAAAAGTTTGAGTGAGACAGAACGTGGACTTTATTCAACGGATCTTGATGTGAGTGCCGGTTGTTTGGAATTTCTTTACTGTAACTACACAATTAAGTTTATTTCGAGATGAACTGATAGAACAAATATAATGTTAATATATCTGTAAAAATTATTAATGTTTAGATAACTTTCTTTTACTTATGATGCTTCCGCTAGAGTGACTATCATAACCTCAGTAAAACTGGTCACTATTAAACCCATGCAGAGACTGCTTTTAGACACGTAAGGAAAATATTATATGATGTAAATTTACTCCTTATAAATAAAATACAAAAATGTGTAAGATGTAGTATTTGTTTGTTTTGAATTTCGCTCAAAGCTGCTCGAGGGCTATCTGCGCTAGCCGTCCCTTATTTAACAGTGTAAGACTAGAGGGAAGGCAGCTAGTCATCACCACCCACCGCCAACTCTTGGGCTACTCTTTTACCGTCACATTATAACGCCCCCACGGCTGAAAGGGCGAGCATGTTCGGTGTGACGGGGATTCGAACCCACGACCTGCAGATTGCGAGTCGAGCTCCCTAACCACCTGGCCATGTCGGGCTGGTAAGATGTAGTAAGTCACCTTCTGATAAATAAAACGCAGAAATGTATAGCATGTAGTAAGCCACCTTCTGATAACTAAAACACAGAAATGTATAGGATGTAGTAAGCCACCTTCTGATAACTAAAACACAGAAATGTATTAGATGTAGTAAG